GATAATTATTAGGTTATTTCTATTCTTGGCTAGGTATAATTTATTGGGAGTTTCAATTCTGTGAAATCGGGTAAGTTCTATGTTCCCCATTTGCCACCGAAGTCTGTTTCGGTTCAAATAACATAAATAGTAAAGGAAAGAGAATCTTAAAGACTTCAGCTTAGGCAAAAGGTTCAGCTCAGTTATGGCTTTATCTTACTTTAAGTAATGTCATCTATGGTTTTGCTAAATTTCAATGCTATTTGAATTTAAATGCCACAAATAGCATTGAAATTTGTTTGTAATATGGTGTGTTAATCAATTTATGTAAAGGTTATATGTGTATTCGAGATGCAGGGTTGAGTTCAAAATATGTTAGCACAGATGTGAGTGATTTGAGCAGTACGAGTAGCAAGGTCTCATCCTTTTCAGTGCCTCCAACTCCTCGTAGTGAGGATGAGATCTTGCAGTCCTCCAATCTGAAGAGCTTCAGTTTTTCTGACCTGAAGATGGCCACCAGGAATTTCCGTCCTGATAGTGTCTTAGGAGAAGGTGGGTTTGGTTCAGTTTTTAAGGGATGGATTGATGAGCAATCATTTGCTGCTGCCAAGCCTGGAACTGGAATGGTTATTGCTGTGAAAAGGCTTAACCAAGATGGTTTCCAAGGTCACAAGGAGTGGTTGGTGAGTTCATTGTTTCCTTCTTTTCACTTGTGTATAAGCAGAGAAATTGTCTGGAGTCTTGATTTATTTATTTATTTTGGTAAAGAAACAATTGAAATTTAGTGACAGTAGAGTTGCACATCAATAAAAGCCATTATACTGGTACTTCAAACTTCAGCTAGTCATTTCCTATTACTCAGTTTGTTTCCCCTTTTGGGTCTTGTTCACAACAACATATTTAGCCAAGTTTACTCTAGTTTGGGGTTTAGAGGCTCACTTACCCTGTGCTTCTACTGTAGGCAGAAGTAAATTATCTGGGTCAGCTCTATAATCCTCACCTTGTGAAGCTGATTGGCTATTGCTTAGAGGATGAACACCGACTGTTGGTGTATGAATTTATGCCTCGAGGCAGTTTGGAAAATCATTTATTTAGAAGTGAGTTATTCATGTTCCATCTCTTGAAATTGTTGAGCCAAAATGGGTTGTTATAATTTGAAATTTACACCTTTTAAACTGTTGCTGTACCAGGAGGTTCTTATTTCCAACCACTTTCTTGGAACCTCCGCATGAAGGTTGCTCTTGGTGCTGCAAAGGGGCTTGCATTTCTTCATAGTGCCAAAACGAAAGTAATATATCGGGACTTCAAGACTTCTAACATTCTGCTTGATTCGGTATGTGTGATGGGTGAAGCAGATTTTCATACTCCATGATATGGTTTTACTTGATGGTCAGAAAGTCTTTTCACTTTCTATCAGTGCTTCTAAGAATTTCTTTTGCATTATTATTGCAGAAATACAATGCAAAACTTTCCGATTTTGGGCTGGCCAAAGATGGACCAACTGGTGACAAGAGTCATGTATCTACTAGGGTAATGGGGACCTATGGTTATGCTGCTCCAGAATATCTAGCTACAGGTATTAATCAAATTCAGATGCATTTTCCCAGAGCTTAACTATGTGTATAGGCCGTTCTGTCCACCTGTTCAACTCGGGCTTTTTTTACACACACAAGTTCTGATGACCACTCTTCTTTCCTAACTAGGTCATCTAACTACCAAGAGTGATGTCTATAGCTTTGGAGTTGTTTTGCTAGAAATGTTATCTGGCAAGAGAGCAGTTGATAAAAATCGCCCATCTGGAGAGCACAGTCTTGTGGAATGGGCTAAACCTTATCTAGCGAACAAACGTAAGATCTTTCGCATCCTCGATAATCGCCTCGAAGGTCAGTATTCAATGGATGTTGCATATAAGGCCTCTACCCTTGCACTGCGTTGCCTATCCATAGAAACCAAGTTTCGACCAACTATGGCTGAGGTTGTGACAGCATTGGAGCAGCTTCAGGATTCCAAAGAAACTGTTAGTGCCAATGGCCATGTGGGCAACACCCCTCGAATTCGTAGACGAAGTGCAGATGATGGTACTAGTGGAAGGACTACTGCTGCATATCCTCGGCCCTCTGCATCCCCACTTTATGCTTGAAATAGAATCACGGAACTTGACTACAGCTGCATCTTTTTATTCCTTGATTCAATGCTGGTAGTTTTGCACTTCACATGGGGACTCATGCATCACTTAACGTACATTCATCCAATGACTGTACAGGTTTTGGCTAATGTATTCAAAGTCCTGTTGACAAATTTCCAGGTCAGCCTATAACAAGAGTGCTCTCGATGGTTGTCTGATAGATTGAAACACTTGGAAAAAACTTTGGAGTTGAGAACCAGAGATGCCAGGGCTTTGGGACCATTTATAGTTAGCTCTCTTTTCTTATCCCAGCCTGGCTTGTTGTATTTGATGAATTTAATTTTAAATTCTTTTTTCCTTACTCATGGATCTGCCAATAATACCTCTAGATGCATTAGTTTGTTGCAGTAGGCCGTTTGTTTCTTTTCTTAAAAAGAGAAGCTGAGTAATATGTTTCATGTTTGGACTTCTATCTACGATGTGATTATGTGCCAATACAAAAGCTGTGAATGCACCTTCATATTTCCCGTGACTTCTATGATGCCCTTCCACGGGCGGGAAAGGGTTGCTTTTTTTTTTTTTTTTGGCTTTTTGCAGAATTCAGTGCGAGTATTTCCTTTAATTCTTCCGGGAAAAAAAAAAAAACTCATTGTATCATCCAATTCGGTAATATAGTTATCAGATCAGATGATCACGTTCTTATTCCGTAGCCATATGACACTGACTCCAGGGAAAAAGAGAGCATTATAGAATTTGGCAATAAAAATGGAGAGAATTTAAAGTCGAAGACAATGTCAACGGCACCTTAGACTTCGCTAGGAAAAGTTGGAGGAAGAATAAAGAGGGGCACACGTGGATACTATTGCTATGTGGTTATAGTCCATGAAGCTTTTGATGTTTCAGCTGTGCAACAAATAGTTCAATATCGGATAGTGCAAGACCATCACTGAGGTTTAAGGCTGTGGTAGTAATCTGCTAATGTTTTCACGGGACCCATGCTTTGACACCCTAAAAAACCACACCAACGAAAGGAAAGATTGCACCCATTCGGGTTACTTGAGCTATTGTTTAACATTTGAGCATTATTGAAGAAGAAATTTTTATTTCTAAATATCTATTTTTCTACTAAATGATTGGCTCATATTCCACCGAACTCGAAATCACTTAAGAAGAAGAGAGACACTAATCCCAATTTACTATATAGCATGTATTTCTTGATCTCACATGAGTATTATATTAGACACGTTCATCAGAGATTTGGCTCGGAAATTTCCATAGGTAGCGCGAAAGACTTACTTTCTTGAGGTCTACGTACATGAAATCAAATTTCGAACTTCTGAAGTCTATAGATGCAGCATTCCTAATTGAGGTTCATGTTATGGTCAAATTTCTGTGCCTCCATGGTTTGTCTTCCATATACTCTCAGGAACCAGCATGTAGGACGTGAAAATAGTTCACTCATCAATTAATGAACTTTATTGAATGGGTTAAGGAAAGTTATTTTATCAGGTTCAGCGAAGTTTACATTACGAACCACAAGCAGATAGAGCAAGTGTGCGTTCATCGGGACCTAAGTGGTGATGAGTTGACCACCAGTTGATCATGTTTCTACCACTCCAATCGTGTCTTGTTTCGTTCATCGTTGAAGTGGTCTCCTCTTTCTATCATTAGCCAAATAGAGAGGAAGTGGAGACAAAATGAAAATATCGTATGATGCGACAGTGAAGAAACAAGTAACAATGGTTTGCAACTTTAGGAAGGCGTTGACGTTTGGTAGTACCGAAGGATGGCAATGGAGCGAATACTAAACTCGTTAATTTAATGTTTTATCCTATTCATGAAAAAAATATCATACCCATTAAGAAATCCTCCTATAAATTTTCACTCAATCTATATTCAATAAAAATAATTATTTTAATCCCTATATTTTTTTAAAAAAAGTTTTTTGATTCTTAAAATTTAATTTTTATTTCCATTTTAGTCATTTATATAAATTTTTTGGTCCTTATAGTTTTCAGAAAAAATCAAAATTAAATTTCTTGCAATTAGATACCTATATGTTAATAAAAAAATCCAAATAAATTATTGAGTACTAATAAGATAAAGAGTAAATACTAATACCTTAAAATCATTTTAGTGGATACATATCTTTTTATCTTTACCCATTTTAATAGCTATTGAGTATTATTAATGAGTGTTTATTGAATAAGATAAAATAAGTATCTATTTTATATCCAATTCATTGCCATACCAAGTAGTACCATAGTAGACTATTGGTCCTATTTTGATCATGATCTGAAAACATAAACACAAGATAGGCCCTAGCAATTTGAAAATTTATAGCGTCCTATAAACTATAACATTCCTGCCCATGAGACAGCCATCAAGCAAGTGTATAGTCCGATCTTTAAGAAACAGCCGAACAGTCTCACCCCATCTTAGGTCAGCTAGAATTATCAGTCGAGACAAATTTTGCATAGCTTGGTCATATTTAGAGACTATAGAAAATCACGCAAGAGTAGCTTTCTTTTTCTTTCGATAAGCAAGACAAGCTCTGCCACAGGATCCCCTTCAGCATGTAAGTTCTCACGCGCGCAAATAGGAAAGCAAAGGAAATTGAACTAGAAGAAACCTCTGAGTGCATCAGATATCACCACTCATCTTTTATGCCAACCCTCAGGGCAAAATCACATACTATTGAGGAGATGTGAAATTGAGCCTTGCAATCACATGCATGTCTCACAGCTTCGGAGACACGACAAACCTCCATTTACAGCCATCTTGCAAATAAATAAGATGATGATTGCCCTTCCTAGTGTTTAACGCATCCATTTGCCATTCTCCGAGGGAGCAAGGATGTGTGCATTTCTATTTACTGGTCAAAGATGAAAGCTTATCATGAAGTTCTAACCAATCCTGGCTTCCAGTTTCTCCAATCTAATTTACCAATGGATCTATTTCTCAAGTTGACCATTTCTCTTATATCAAAAACCTTCTTCCGGTAACTGTTTCGCTGTTTGGTAGACTCAGCCTCAGTCTCTTCAGTGGCCTCTTCCCTAACTTCTTCAACTTCAGAGACACTTTCAGGGGTACCTTCATCTTGAGATGAAGTCTCAGCGATGATGTTTCCCAGCATTTCTACTACCTCACTCATTTTAGGGCGGGACTTGGGCTGCTTAACTAGACACTTGTTTGCCAAGGCTGCTAATTTCTGAGCTGATTTGAAGCAATCCTGTCCTTCAAGTCGTGGGTCAACAATAAGGTGGAACTTCTTCGAATCTGATACAAATGGTTTTACCCATTCCAAGAGCTTTTGCTCACCCCGAGGAAGGTTTCTCTCTACTGCTCGCCTTCCTGTTATAAGCTCATACATAACCACCCCAAAGCTCCATACATCACTCTTTGCAGTAAGCCTGCCAGTCTGAACATACTCTGGAGCTGCGTAACCCACTGTGCCCACAACCTTTAACAATGTAATTAAATGCATAATTAGAGAGTAACCAATTCTGTGTAACTGTAGAATTATAGGATTAGTTATTAAAAAAATAAAAAGCATGCTGGTTTCGTAGAAATTTAACTGTAATTCTATAAATCTAGTGTATCAATTGCATGTGGGTGTGCATGCTTGAGTGAGCATATTGGCTAATGATATAAATCAGCATGAAAATATAACCACCACCAACATTACAAAATTTTTAGTTGTATAATACAAACCAAGTATAATGGTGCCATTCAACAACAGCAATGTATTTCTCCAAGTTTGATCAAAACCTTTTGAACAGGAGCAGGGGATGAAAAAAGAGTGAAAGATCGGGACACATAATATCATTCAGTTTTTATCAAGTTTCATCAACAAAATCGTCTACATCAAATCAATTTCTTTCCATCAGAAAATCTCTTATTTGAGCTGATCCATTTTAACATTTTAAAACAGGTAATATGGCTGAACTTTTTATTTATACTCAACCAGGTTAAAAGAAAAGGAACAGGGAAGAGAAAGAACTACTTACTGATGTTGAAACATGACCGAGTCCTTCAGGAGGTCCCTGCCTAGCTAGTCCGAAGTCCGAAAGCTTTGCATTGAAGTCCTCGTCTAGTAGAACGTTTGATGCTTTAAAATCTCGGAATATTAGCTGTTTCAATGCACGGCAAACCATAAGCGCACAATCAGCTGAGAAAACTATGCAATACATTACAAAAAACAGTTGACAGTACTCAAGGAAAAAGCTAAAACTTTCAATGTGCAAGCATCATCACATCCAAACTTCATAAATGACAAAAATCTATAAAAGCATGAATTCTCATTATAGTAAATTCAAATAAAAAATATAATTCACTCCAGAGATGGACAGTAAATTTCAACATGACAAACAAAGAAGGAAAAAAAAAGGTTTTGACACCATTGAAATTTAATTCTATAACCATAGCAATACAAGATTAATATAATACCTGAAAGTCCATTTCTTCATGAAGGTAAGCCAATCCGCGAGCTGCATCTTGAGCAATTTTTAATCTTGTCATCCAAGGAAGATTTGTGGGCGGTATCCTCGCTAATAAATGGTCTTCCAAGCTTTTATTATGCAGAAGCTCATAAACCAAAAGCCTCTGCATCCCTCTTTCATTATCTTCAGCACAATACCCCACTAGTTTAACAAGATTTGGATGCTTAACAACACCTAAGAAATTCACTTCATTAATCCATTCCTTATGCCCCTGTAATGGTAGAAGAAATTATCCAAAATACGCACAAATTTCATTAATCATTCAACAAAAAAACCCATTTTTTATTGCAAAATATCAGTACTAATTAATCAATTATAACAAGAAAGGCATGCCTGGAAACCTTGACGATTCAACTGTTTTATAGCAACATCCATCTTGGAATTAGAGTCATGATCAGCTGGAACTTTAACGACGCCTCTATAAACGCAGCCGAAGCCTCCCTCACCAATTAGCAAACCTCTACTAAACCCTCTCGTAGCAGATTTGAGCTCAGAAAAACTGAAGACTCGCAGATCATTAGCTCTTCTCTGACTCAGTAACTCGAAGAAACCGACTGATTCAGACAAGTCTCTAGAAGAGTAGCAGTAGCTGTCAGAGTCAAGCTCGGACCGCCTTGTATCAACACTGCTGGACGCCACGCTGAAGGACCTGGCCCAGGATACTCTGGATGCTTTTGAAACGGCGGCGTCTTCATCTTCCTTTCTTTCCCCGTTCGTGAAATGAAAACACTTCATTATTCTGTTTCCAAAATAAGAAAATAAAAAAGTATTTTAAGGAAATGAGGGAAATGGAGGAGAGGGGGTCAAAAGTATTTGGTGAGGCAAGGCATGACTCAAATGGTAATTTGGTATGATTTTTGAATGGAGGAAGAAAGGATAGATGGGGACGGGCCCATTTAATTTGGCAGAAAAAGAGAGAGTCAGAGGGGATCACGAGGAAGAGAGCAGAAGGAAGACAGACAGGCAGGGCTGGAGATCAGTGGGTGCTGAGTCGTTATGTCTTCTTCTTCTTCTCCTTCTATTTCTATGTGTTTATATATGACCAACCAGTTTTGAGGTTTTCTTCTCTTTATTAGTTGAGGGGTTTAACCGCCCCTATCTTATTTTATTTTTTTAAGGATCATGCCTTACTTTTTATATTATAATATTCTATTACTACACATCATCACAAGTATGAATTTTTTAAACAAAATAGGGAAAAAAAAAATTGACAAGTGCTACAGTTAGTCCTTGACTGGGTTTGGATTTGATACATCCGACCCATCTTGGATTTACTATGGTTCCGAAATGGGCATTTTCTCTTTCAATTCTAACCCAAGAAAGAAAAATGATGGGTTAAAATTTTATCAAGTTTGACGGTTGATAAAATTTGATTGGTCACATTCGGCTTTAATGGAAATTGGTGTTACGATTAGATGGAAGAAATTAATTATGTCGCAAAATTGAAATATCAAGCAGTTAATTGCAGTTTTTAGACTTCTAGGATTCAATGTAACAAAAAATGAGAATCACAAGGACTTCTGCACACATTAAACCCAATATAACAGTTTTTTTTTTTAAACTGAAAATTACCCAGTAGAAAGATGAACAGTCAGAAGAGTAAATGCGTTGCCCCTTTTCCTATTCTCCCGTACCTTAGAGTTTGGAGCTGTTTTGTTTTAATTGTGTAGTTTTTTTTTTTTTTTTGAACACGTGAACGATCTGCATATTCATTCCTAACTTAAATCACTTGCGAGTATTAATTGTGCAACTTATCTATATTATCTGTCCCAAACGGTCCATCTTACGTGCACCACGTTAGATTTTCACGAAGATGTGTTTTTTATTTTATTTAATCTTCAAAATATTTTAAATTTAAAAATTAAAATTAATTTTTTATTATTTTGTTAGATGGGTAAAGATATCAAAAAAAAAAAATTTCCTATATAAAAATTTATATTTAAAATTATTTATTTAAATGATTCGAGTTTGTTTCCGTTAAAATTAATTCTCTTGGATGGAAGATATATTTTTAAAATAGTATGTAAAATATTCTCAAAATATCTTTTACCATCTAGTAAATGAAAAAACCTTCTTTTTCTTTTCTTTTTTTAATAAAAAATCATCAACATATCAAAGGTAAAATTCATGCCTTAATTCAAGATTAACATTTTCATGGAGAGAGAATCTGTACACGGAAAGGTCGTCACATCCATCTTCACCGTCACATTCGCTCACTCTAGCTATAATAATAATAATATAAATGTTTTCAAGAATTGTATGCGCCTTATTAATTAGGCTCGTTTGACGCTGGAGAATTTGGATGACTAAAATGCATCCTATATAGAACGACCCGGTCATTTTACACAGCCGTGCAATTTTAATTGGGAGATAATTTTAAAGTCTACTGGTTGTTGTTATAAAAAATAAGAAAGAAATGGAAAAAAAAAAGTCCAATAGCATCACCCAAGTCTTTGATTAAAATGTTGCGTTCAGGAAAAAAGAAATAATTCAACATGATGTTAAATAATTTGGGATTGCATTGTAAATAACTCGAGGCAGGCTGGTGCTGTACACTCAAAAACACATAATGGTGGCTGTGAATTATTACAGCGAAAAACAACTCCACAAGCAACAATTATCGCTGTCATTAATCTGCAGAACAAAACTTACTTTCAAGCAAGCTACCATAATGTACTCTTTTCCCCTTAACAAGCAAGTCCGCGTATTGGTTTGTGCCCAGAAGCGTATGCACCATAATGTACAGTGCAGATAATTAGGTATCAGTGCAATTTCCTCCTAACTGTTGTATGCTGATCATGTTTTTCATGTTATCGGATACAAACTTAAAAACAACACTAGTTGTGTCGTAGAAGCTGCGTACACAGAACAAGGTTACTTGTCACTCTTTCAAAGATAAACCTGTGACATAGATGCCTTTGTCTTATGGCACTGGGCCGGTTGACCAATGATGTAATTAAAGCCATCTTATTTCCGTCAATTCATCTTACTTGAGGTTTTTCTTAGTTTGAAAATTCTTATTTTGTTTCCTATATATATAAAAGAAACCTTCTGGTTGGCAATTCGGCCTTTTTGAAAACCCTTCTAGTTGCCATCCTTTTCCTTTAAGTCTTAAAATCATATTGGGCCTGGGCTTTTTGAAAAACCTTCTACTTGGCAATTCGGCAACATCATTTGGGCTTCGCACCATCTACATTCTACTAAATTGGAGTGTCTGAAGGAGTTGACGGATTTCCATGTCTGACAAATTTCAATTTATGATTTCTTGCTTACATTAGGTAATAATTTTAGAGTGAGGGAATTTGAAAATTTTGATATTTAATAAATCACCATCATTGATTTCTATCATTTTCTTTTCATTCTGGATTCTAGGAGTAATTTCCTTTTCATTTTATTTATTTATTATATTTTTAACTATCTTAAAAGGTAATACAGTTAATTAGTCTTGATCATTGCATTTTTTACATGTATCTACTTTATCTGACACGGCATCTCAACTCTCAAATAATAGTGAATTGAAGTAAAACTAAATAGAAAGACCATATTAAAGATTTTTCTTAATAAAAGGATTATATAAATAAATAGAACACAATAAAAAAATATATAGGAGTCCATCAACTAAGCGTGGAGTTAATCCCAATATTGTTCAGTACTATTGCTAATGAATTAGAAACGACAAACACTCAAGGGGCATGGAAGTCATGTGAATGGCGAGCCCAAACCTAAGAATCATTTAACCCAAAATTAAGACAGGTGTCTGGATAACAGAAAAACTAAATCGAACTGAATTAAAAAAAATCAAATTTATTTCAATTTTTTTAATTTTTATTTGTCATTGTTTGATTAAATCGAAAACCAATTCATTTTTTTAATATATATATATATATATATATAAACTTTGATATAGTAATACCTTGAAATATTGTTTGGTTACGAAGAATAGATCGAATAATGAGAATGAGATATGAATATTTTATTTTTATTTTATTGATTTTTTTAAATAAAATAAAATAAAATAAAATAAATAAAGAATGAAAAATAAATATAGTTTCATTTTTATAAGAGATGAAAATAAAAATAAAGATTTTGACGTGTTTCTGCTTTATCTAACACGGCAAGCCAACTCTCAAAGACTAATAGTAAATTGAACTAAAACTAAATAGAAAGATCATATCAAATATTTTTTTAATAAAAGGATTATATAAATGAAAATAAAAAAATAGAACACAATAAAAAAAAAATTCAAGAGGTAGATAAACCAAACGTGAAATTAATGTTGTATTGTTCAATACTGTTACTAATGAAATAGAAACGACAAAAACCTAAGTGGCATGAAAAAGGAATGGTGAGCCCAAACCCAACAATCATTTAACCCAAAATTAAGGGGCAGTACCATTCAATTTTAATTGAAAAACTAAATCGACATGAATTTAAAAAAATGGAATTTATTTTGATTTTTCAAATTTCGTTTTGTTTTTGATATTTTTATATTCGATTAGATCGAAAAACCAAATTATTTTTTTCAATATAAACACACACACTAATATAATAATGTCCTCAAGAGTTGTTTGATAAGAAAGAATAAAATAATAAAAATGAGAATGAAAGTTTTATTTTCTACCTTATAAGTGTTTGATTGAAAGAAATGAAATAAGCAAGGGAATGAATAATGAAAATAAGAATACGAATTAAACATAGTTCTATTTTTATGGGAAAAGTAGGAATAAAAAGAAGGAATGAGAAAAAAAATTCTTCAAAATAATAATATATTATTTTTATTTATTGTGATTTCAACTAGTTATATCACCATCACCACCTTTACTTTCACCATCACCTCCTCCACCATCACCACCTTTACTTTCACTATCACCTCTTCCACCATCACCATTATCACACTACCAATGGTGACAACAAATTTTTTTTAAAAAAAATCTACTATTTTTTTTATTGCAATGTTTTTTTCTCAACCATTACTATTATTTCTATTATACCATACCATTGCTATTTTGTGATGATAAAAACAGATTCAAAAAATTATTATTATTACTATTATTATTATTATACCATCACCATTATTATCATTTTTATTATACTACCACCATCAATACTATCACTTTTTTCCATAACCACCTCCTAAAATGGTAGTATCGATTTTTTTTTTAAATATATATTATTGCTATTACTATCATTGTTATTACTATCGCATCCTACTCCTCCTACTCTACCGCCATCACTATCACAATCACCTCTATAATTTTTTTTTTACTATAATCATAGTTGATGAAACTATTTTTTAATTGTTATTCTTTTCATCTTAAAACTAGATATTAAAAAATTTAAATGTCATTTTCATTCTTTATTACTATTGTAAACATGATATGAGAATACAAGTATCATTTTGAATCCGTAATTTTTATTTTGATTTTTATATTTTTATGCTGAATCTTTTATTTCTAGTAATCAAATAATACCTAAGTCTCCTTCTAAAGTTGACTCACCCCCACCCCAACAGAGAGAGACACACCCTTCATTCATCCTTCCACCGTACTCAGAGACAGATGACACACCCATCATCCTTCCTTCCACCCTTACTCATCCACAGTTGACAATCCAATCAACTCTCATCTACCCATATTGTCCCAGCTCTCTTATTAATAAAATAAAAAATTTCTCACTCACAAGTCATGACCCTTCTTTCAGTCAGCCGACTTCTATACCTTTTTTTTTTTTCTCAT